ATTGATAAGGACTTAAAAAATAAAAGTCGAAACGTCTCTCATAATAGAATTGTTCTATTTTATTTCTGCACAACATCCGGCATTAGCTCAATATCGCCCTATTGAATTATTATTTATTTGGAATTACCAATAAGAGCTGGAGGTCATACCTCTCATCTTAACTTGAATATAAATAGATGATAGAAAGTTTGTAATTCTGGTTGTGTANTCTTACATATTACACAAATGAAAGTCTACATATATGTAGTTACTTATGTAAGAAGAACATAGAAAAACAGATTTATTTTATGATAATAATGTTTAATATAAGGGATTTAAAGTATGCAGAAAAAAAATTTATAAAGATAATATATATAATATCTATATAAAAAAGACCATACTTCTGACAGAAATTGTTATATTTATCTTTTTCTCATGTTTAAAGGTTATCTATTCATATAACAGTTATGTAATGTATCATGTATTGTAAGTCTATTTTGCAATAAACCGCTTTTATATATCAAGATGTACATTTCCTCTTTTTATATGTATATTCTCTATATCGTCACTCCCTACATATAATCCCGTAACTCCAAAACGCAAATTTTAGAGGAGAGCAGTTTAAAAGTTTAAAGCTTCATATAGTTTCTCTAGTTAAGGGATCTTCGGTTTTAAATTTTTACCATACTTATGAATATTTTTTTTAATACTTGGTGACCACAAAGAACATGACTTTCCGAGTGTCACTATGCAATAAACTGAAAATCCTATATGTGACACTTATGTAATTATACGTAGGGAGTGACGATATATTTGTATATGTAGATTCAAATTATATATATATATATATATAAAATATTAATATATATACAGAGATATGATATATATTTGCAAGTTCTTTCTCATTAATCTTTTTTCTTTTGTAAGTACTTCGATTGATCTTTAAAAACAATGTCAGGTAATCATTTTGTCTCTATTATTTCTCTATTAATACTNTACAAAATTCGAAATTGAACTATAAGTTTTATTAAATGTTTTTTCTTTTTAATTCACAAATGATTCGTTCCGTGGTTTTCATTGTAACATTTTCTATTTACAATTGAGATATCATGGGATAAATAACGTGGAAAAATAAATGATAATTAATTATTAGATAAACTGTCCGATATTTTATCTGAAAGTGGAACAACCCGACCCTGTATATCTTGAGAAAGCGCATTTCATGTTATCATACGCGACAAGTCTGTACCGACTTGTATACCGACGTGTACATAGCACGAAGTAGAACCATATCCACCGCACATAGCACGAAATAGAACCATGTCTACAGCACATAGCACGGAATAAAACCATCCCCACGCGTGGACATAGCCATACGTATCGACAAGTCGCTCGTGGACATGTCTGCGTAGTTCCAATGTGCATCACTCGTGGATTTTGGACGTTGTATTCGCTAGTGTACGGGGCGATTTTGCTATGACAGAAACTCACTTAGACCATATATACTTTATAGACACGGCTTCAGACAACTATCTTGAAGCCTTTGACTATATAAACATGGACTGCTAGTCGGGAGATCTGACCGTAGACGACATTGAACAGCGCATTTTGAGTTTGGGCCAATAACTAATAGGTCGTCACGTGGTCCTTGCCAGTGTCACCAGTATTATATATATATATATATATA